AATCCATCGAGAGAGAGAGAGAGGGTATCCTATGCTAAGGAAGAAAAAAATCAACCAAAAAACCACCCCTCCCTCAAATTGGCGTACAGAACCCCGGCGGTTAAAATTGTAAGTCCCCTCCGATATATTTGTATGTAATCTGCGTGCGTAATATAATTATATGCGTGTGAGGATCCGAACAATGTTGAGAGAAGATCTTACAAAACCGATAATTATTATAACAATCTAACTGTTACATAACATGAGCGCTATATTGTATTTATATTGTTGAGTGATCAAATATGTTTGATTTTCAGTCGTAGCGTTTAGCAAATGCGAAGCAAAATTTCTTCGCAGCATAATAAAATTAAATGGTAATGATATACTCTCTCTGTGTTTGGGATTTGTATTAAATGGGACCTGTACAGCAAACTCTATTGATGTTATTCTAGCATAGTAACATTGAAAATTTCCAATTAAACGCGTTATTTTCTAATATTTGTGCATCATGACTACTGCTTTGGAACATCCTTGCTAGTTCATGGAAGAATAATCAGCAGTTAAACGAATATGTCGATTCAATGCGTGTAACCGAAAATGCTATTGTCACCGGGTCTAGTAAATGTTAAAGCTATTATGGCGTTTAGTATACATAGAACTAAAAAATTTGGTTATAGTAATTAGACATTTGGTGAAAACATATTCATTAAATCTTGATAATTGTTACCAAATCCTTCTTTCAATATCGAAGTTACGGAATAAAATGTACGCATATGTGTGATACTAACGCACGCATGTGATACTAAAAGTGATATTTATAGTCAGATCTTATATTTAAGATCATCTTAAGTTCATTTTCAGAAACTGTATGGCTCGTTTCATCGGCTACATTTGGAGATGAATTTAAATAGGAAATTATACTATTTTAAATATAAAATTGTATTATGAATGCCAGCTTAATATCATGTATTCCAGACTATATGTTAGCTCTGATGCTAAGTTAAAATATTAAATATATTGCCGTTTTGTCAGTAGGAGACATATATAATCCTCATTATTTTACAAAATAACATTACTCACTAGTTACGCACTTATTAATCTTAACTTTATAATTTTACTTTATACTCACATGTGTATGATCTTATGTAGTGGTGTTGATTGACGACAAACAGAGATTTAGCATCTTTTGATTTCACGGATTCAAAGTAAAGAATATACTCGCGGATTCAAAATAAGAAAACACTCAGTATTTAGGTCTCCAAAATTTAATTAATTATTACAAGCTTTAGCAAAACTTATACAAAATACGATAAGCTACGATCGCACGATTCTTACACCACCGCTGCTAAGACGGAAATGAACGTTTTAGTTGCCTGCGACTTGCCTATACTATTTGGGCTGCGTTCTCTTTGGAAGCTCACGTACTGTAAGCGTCATTCCTTCTTTATTGTTTATATACTAAAAGAAGATAGAACAAAGTCTACTGCGCGTAAACACCCAAAAAGGAACGCAACTTTTGTATCGTAGAGATTTTGGAGATTTTTTTGAATACTGCTCTCGGATTGGATATCGCACGGTTCGCTGATTGGTTGTCCTGTGCAATCCGTTGATTGTTCGGCCGGTATCTTTGATTTCTTCTAGTGCGGCCGAAGCCATAAAGAAAACAGCGATATCTGTGTATAATATTTAACATTGACTTAATAGATGGCATGGTTTTATCGAGGAAAAATAATTCTACAACTACATAATCTTTGTGTTAACCATATACTTACACATAAATTCTGTTATTATACAAATATTTTTAAATAATATAATCACAATTATGTTACATTAACATATGGCTATGCTGAAAATTCAATATAAAACTTTTAACAAGGATCGTTTTTAACACGAAAACAAATATTTTTGACCTTGTCGACCGTGTTGTGCGTTTGGTAATTTGGTGCGTTTGGTAATTTGGTGCGTTTGGTAATTCGAAGTTCAATTAATGTCTACGTTTAGAAGACACAAGCGATCAATGAGTGGTCGGTGATCATTGGTTTTTACTATTAGATCTCTAAATTTAGACCAATTACGTTGACGAACTCCAGTCCAACTGTTATGCAACCGTTATGTCTTTTTGAACGCACTTAATGATTCTTCATCCCGCTTATGAAAGATGTTTCACGCGTCCAACATCATTATCGGTAATGCGGATCGGAGTATCGAAGTTCCTAGATTAATATCTTTCGCGTTTACGACTTGTCGAAGGAAAAGTCAGTAACTTAATAAAACAGAATGTCTAAAATAACGTACCTGTGACTCTTGTGTGTTCAAGTCGCACACAGTAAAAAGTTTTGTGTTAAAAAAGATCCACTGAAATTTTGTATTTCTTTAACAAGATGAATATTTTAAAAAGTAATATGTTAACAAGATGAATATGTTAATTTAATATTACATTTGTTTATTAATAATAACATTTATTTACATTTACATTTTAACACGTTTCTAGTGTTAAATTAACACAAAAATTTCAGTGAATTTTTTTTAATGCAAAATTTGTATTATGTTCCCTGCGTTAGTAAATTTAAATCTAATGTGATGCTATTTATTTCTATAGGATATCAAACAAAGGATACTTGCGATGTGTTCCGAATTACGCATGAAGCGCGTTGACTACATAGAAAGTTGTTCCGATTTAAGCAATGCGCGCATTGAGAACGCATTGGGAATATAGAGAATTCCCTAGATTGTACTACACGTGCTGAATTTTTAGTTTCCTTCCAACACATTAGGTCTGTTCGTTTTCGCTGCACAATTTTCAACTGAGGCATTTGATGCGTCTGATGCATTTAATGCAGTCTATGTATTTCCTGCGTAATTCGAAATTGTCAACGGACCCTTCATTGTGATGGAACAGCAATTGTATGAATTTCCGATTTTAATACAAAAAAATAATAAAATAATAACTTTATTTTCAAATAAAGAAGATATGGAGAAAGGTAGTCAAATTAATATATTATTTAACCTTAATTTATATAATGCGCAGGTTACACGTTAGTTTAAGCATCAGCATTTCATAGACTCAGCATTTTTGCAGAACTTTATTGCAAAGGAACAAGGCGAAAATAAAAACAATAATATCGAGTCAGTAGTTAAATTGGCAGATAACGTCTGTATATCATTTAGAAATATGTTTTCATCTTCACTGTCGTCCGATTCGGAACTATCACTTTTATCGTTTTCCTTTGAAAGTATCAACGAAGAGATTACAATTATTGGAATTCGTTTGTTGACGTTTTGCACGGTGTCCATTTTCAATTCGCATTAGTGCGCACAACGCGCAGGCAACCGTTACGAATAACTAAAGCGCTTCATGCGCATTGACAAAACGGAACAATTTCGAAGCGCATCAGTAATGCAGTCCATGCGTTTCGTGTGCAACTCGGAACGCAATCATAGAAACTAATAGTTTAGTTAAGAACTACATATGTGCGGAGAAATGTTTGGAAGTGTATAAAGGCAAGAAGTTGCTCACAGTCGTTATCGATACAATTTCAAATGCTAAAGTTGCTTGAATCGTCCGCTATGTGGCAGCATAACGTTACCATCGAATCTTGTTAACGTTGCGCATAGTGATCTTCGTAATATCTCTACAGATGTCGATTGCATGCAGTTTTTGCACGATCTCGATATATATTATATATAATATAAGTATATAACCTTGGTTAGATGACATAAAGAGGAGTGGAAGTGCGTTGTATGTGGTATGAGTATTTTAAACGATTATAAAATAATTAGAATAATAAACAGTGTAAGAGATAGAGAGAAATTAAGATTTAGGAGAATAGAAGACGTGGAAGGAAAGATAGTAAGAGACGTTCGTTAGGTAGAAAGGAATCTGGCGTAGAAAATATTGCGTAGTAAATTGAAAGTTATAATAATATTGAAAGTTATGGCGGCGAAAGGAACGAGCAACGCCGGAGGCGTGGGGAAAGCAGGGAGAAGTAGGATAGACGAGAAATAAGGAAAATTATCGATTAAGAATATGTGGTCGGTATATGTCGGTAAAATAGTATCATTTAAGGAAGAGGAGTCGGTAACAAGCAAGGATGTTAAAAGATAAAGAAAGTTGAAACGGATAGTAAAGGATATGTAGAATATGTTAAAAAAAGGGGGAATATAAATTGAGGGAGTTGGAAGCAAAAAAAAGAGAATTAAATAAGGAGGTAAAGGATTTAAAGGATAGATATGAGCAGATGGGGGATGTAAATGAGAGTACAGAGGAGGATATGGACAGAAGCATACAAAGTTATAAGACGAGTATTTCAATAGCAAAAGGGGAAGCAGTTACTTTAGTTCAGAGTTAGTGTGTAGTGAAGACAGACTTAGTGTCTTCCGTGTAAAAGAATAAAATAAAAAAAAATGGTGGAAGAAAAGAAAAGAAAGGAAAAAATATATAATATGGCAATAAAAGATTTGACAGAAATGGGTGAAGGGAAGGATAGTAAAGCGGAGGTGGAGAAGCTGATAAGGGAGAAATTAAAGGTCAATTGTAAAGTCATTAGCTGCAGGAGTGGATTAATAATTACACACACATATATACGTATATATATATATATACATATATATATATATATATATATATACATATAATATAATACTAAAAATTACAACAAATTATAATAAAAATAATACTGCGTACATTATATGTTGCTGTCTAAAATATTTATATCGAATAGCGATGCAGTCAGAAATGTCAGTGTTTTGAGCAAGAAACAGAGAAATTACGACGCAACAAAATATAGAACGGTGCGTGTAGACATGATTATATTAATGTCGGTCCACAATAGGTATTTTAAGTCTTAAACCTTAAAAAATTGATCAATCACAGTTGAATATGAAGAGAATAATTAATTGTGATTGGTCGATTTCTTAAGGCTTAAGGTTTAAAATACTTATTGTGGACCGACACTTATAGACTTAATGCTAAAGAAAGACTGAATTTTACGCGATTTCGCTTATTCTTGCACTCAAGTAATTTATCTCTTGAAAGCGAACCCTTTGCGACGGCTTTTGGTATCTACGAGCAATTGCGCCTGTCTCTTTAATACGTTTCGGGAGGGTACTTCCTCCTCGTCTTCCGACAATGCAGCAGCCGGAGTCGCGCATGGTGGAAACCGTGGAAACAATGGACCGCCATTTGCGCGCATTGTTCTGCCTTCCGCCGAAGTCGTGGCGACCGACATTGTTTCCATCTAAAAAACAATAATGATATTTATGACCAGTTGCATCGATTTAAGGGCCCTTTATATTTTCGCATATTTTCACATGAATTATGGTGGAACTTACAAGTTCCAGAAGTTATCCATGAACAATATAATAACGACAGAGTACATATAATTTAAAAGAAATTAGAAAACAATCATTTCTTCCGTTTATGATTACTGTCTAACGTTTCTTACTATTTTTAAGAGAAGAAAAATTATCCTTTGTACAGAAGAAACGTGCTTATTTATATATAAACTATTATAAACTGCATTTATAAATATATCGCGATTTTCAAACAACAGAAATCTAACAAATAATTGTAAACCTAACATTTGTGGACACACACACACACACACACATACACACACACACACATAGAGTGTTGCATCACATACAGGTCGATATGACAAATTATCATTTTTGCAATAGAGTCATTCCTATTGTTACAGTTAATCCGATATATCACTTTGCTGGTAGACACGCTCGCTCGGACATTGACTAACACGGTATACTTATCCGCAAAACGGTTTGCACTCATTTTTTTTCCAATAAGAAATATGAAAAAGTGTATGCAAATCGTTTTGCAAGTATGTATATCGCCAAGTTTGTACTGAGAGACTATCTCCGAGCTCGCGCGCCTACCAACGAAACGAGTAGGCAACCCGTTGTATTAACCTGTACTTTGATGCAACACCCTGCACACATACTTACAAAGATTGTCAGTTCCTAATCAGCTTACCTTATCCAATAATACTTCATCCATTGCCTCGAGATATTTATCAGAAACGCTTAAAACTTCGAGTCCATGTGTTATTTTACCGTTCAAAAGTTCGATAACTATCAAAGGATCGTCCATTTCAGTATCCTCAGGCAAAGGAATATCTGCAACGTGCTGTACACATATGGCTTTGTAACATATTTAGTAACATACGATATATAATTTACAAATATTTTTCAACGATATTCTATTTCGATACCATTTGATAATTGGAAATACGAGGTTTCAGTTTAAATAATATTATATAATAATTAAATAATTTCTTACATAAATTAATCTCTGGACAGAAGTCCTTGAAATTAGTTTCACTTTTCTTAGCGCTTCCCGTAGTTTTATATATAAACTACCGATTATAATATAAATACATCGGTAATTTATATGAATATTATACATCGAGTTGTTTTGATAAGTTTCTTTCAGCTTTTAGAAAACGCCTCATTTTTTGTTATGTCAATGACTATGGCAGAGGGCAGGCAGAGCGCCGGGACCGTCAGTTGCGTGACCTATCGGGCTTGCAGAAGCGGCAAGGAGAAGTAAGATATAGACACAGATCCCCCCGAAAATCACCTCGAAAGTGAAATTAATTCCGAATATTGAAATAGAATTTAAAAGTGCATCTAAAAAAGAGCCGAGAAATTGAAGAGCTTATTCTTACACCACTTTAAATCCGTCCCTTTTTGAATTTCAAAGACATATATTTCTCATTTCTTTTCCAAATTTAAGTATAAATCATGCGTTAAAAATTAGGCAGTATAATGTAAATAATATATACTTTTCACTTTAAAAAGAACCCGGATTTAAGGCGGTCTCCTTATAGTTCTTCAGTACTAATTTTCGTTTTTTGAAAAATCTGGAATTAGGACGGGTTCAGAATAAACAGTTCAATTTGTGCCGGTAATTAACGGCCAAAGGTTCCACGTATTCGACTCTCGATAGAATCAATACCGATTCTTTGCGCGTTTCGTCTCGAAGTGTTTATTTTCGATCGGGCATCGAGGTGTTAATACGTCGACGTGCCGGCGACGTCGGACGAGGTGAGAATTACGTAGCGCGGGCTAATCAGGAAAATCCATCGACGAAGATCCGAGATGTACGAACGTGCCGAGTCGGGGGTGTCGAGTTTCCAGGAACAATAAATAACGCCGAAGCTATTCGTCGGTAGACACCATTAAAGGCGCGGTTTCACTAATTTAATTAAGCCTCTACACGGTATTTCCATTCGACGTATCGCGCATTACGAGTACTTCACTCCTCCGAATGCGTTTCTTCGCATGTGATAATTCGCTGCGACGCGTTTCGGACACGCCGCGCGGGGTGACGCGGGGAGACGCGTTAATTAAGACACTTCTATTTCAACGATCGACCATTTCGGTCAATACCGCGGTACTTTTGTCCGACTGTTTATCGCGTAGTTGTTCAAATGTAAGTTTCGTTCGTTTGTCTTCGTTCTCTTCAAGTTGTGCTGTAAGACTGTAAACACAACACGAAGATCAATTTCTATTATAGTTAGTAACAATTAAGACCGCGCCTCTTTCATTACATAAAACAAGTTACATCTTAGAAGCCTGGTGTTCTCTCTAATTAACTTCAAGTAACAAATATCCGCTTTCTGGCGCGGCTCATAGGACGTGATTCCGCATTTCCGTCACACTGGCACCGACCTCTTGCACGGATAATATTCGTGAATTTATAATTGATAACCCTCACCTGAAACTTCTCATACAACTTGCGCAGTATACCGGTCACTTCGTTGAGAAGCTCGCCGACGCGTCGATTCGCCGCCTCGGCTCTCTCCTTACGAGCTCGCTGCTCGTCGATTTGAGAATTTAGTTTCGTCACTATCTCCGCGTTCCTGAAATATGCGAGAGGTCATGAGTTGCAAGCTACATTAACAAGTAAAATACATTCTCCGTAGCTTCAGACTCAACTTATTCCTAGCAGACGCACTTTCGCGGTAAGTTCTTAGGAGATTCCTCATTAGTCACTTAGCTCGAAAACGAAACTCACTGTTCGGCACTTTTTGTCTCCGAGAACTTCCTCATTTCTATCTCAGCGCTAAGCTCCTGCCTATTCTTCTCCAGCAGCATTTTCTCCTGCTCGGTGGCGGCACGCATTTTCTGCAGACTGTCTTTGGTCGCCTGCTGACCCAGAAACCGATTCAGAACTTCCTCCGACTTGGACACTCCGGTGGCGTTCCGCAGCTTGGCGAACGCCTCCTCCAGCCGCGCCAGTTCGTCCTTGATAATGTCCTCCTGCATCTGCACGCGACTTTTCTCACGTGTTTCGAAATCGTCGCGAGGCCTAGTGTGAAATATCATGCGCTCCAGCCGCTCCAGTTCCATTTTGCGCTCCGACACTCGCTGCCTGATTTATTTCGGAACATTGCGAACTCGGTTTAACGTTTGCTCGCGATGACGGTCGTCGTCGTCGTTGAGATTCGTACGAACTAGGTTGATCACGCCGTTTACAAGGAAACCAGGATTGTAATAACGTCGGAAGATATATTTTAAAACGCGAAGTCGATCGCTTACCTGTACTCCTTGATGACCGAGTCGCGTCTTTTGCTGGAATTCGTTTCCTCGATCTCTTCTTTCACTAGAGTCTCCTGAGTGGTGTCCCTCAATTCTATGGCCTCTTCTTTCACCCCCTGCAATCAATCACGGTATGAAGCGGAACGTCTCGTTCCTACCACTCGCGCTTCGCGTCTGTCGCTCTCGTCGCAGCCGCTCTTGCCTGTAAGCGCTTGATCTCGATCTCCTGCTGCCTGATGCCGTCCTCCAGGTCCTTCAAGGAGGAAGCGTAAAACACCGACTTCTCCCGCAACTCGGAGCAGACGGAGCGGTACTTCATGCGCGCGATGTTCGCCTTAATTTGCATCATTCGAATGTGCTCCAGCTGCACCTCGAGGCTCTCGATCTTCTGCGCGAATAGATTGCGTTTACGTTTCCGGCATTCTTTAGTGGTCATCGTGAATTTCGCGAATTTCAATTGGATTACCTTCTTCATCGGGTTTTCGGCCTTCTTCTTGAACACGCCATGACCGCGTCGGCGTGTCAGTTCTTTACTCTCCGTTTGCAAAGTGCTCAAAGTCTCTTCGTGCTGTTGGCACTCAGCAATGTGTTGTTACAGAACAGTTACCAGTACGTTCGTCGTCAGACGGTACGACTCGAGAAAATGTCCAGCAACATACCTTTTCTCGTTGATACTTGATTAGATCTAATTTCTTCCTCAGACGCACATTGTTTTCGCTCGCCGTGCTTATAATCTCCTCCAGATTGCGTTTCCCCGCGCAAGATATAGAATCGCGGCTGAGCAGTGCCGCGCGCTCCATCGCCTCTTCATTCTGAAAGAAACAACACGCTTGTCATCTCGTGATTCTTGTTCAAAGAGAATTGTCCGACATTACTCGCAGCACGTTACATTTTTCACTTTCGCGTATTTCGCGTAAAGTTCCTTGACTTTTCTCTTGAGGTCGACAATCTTCTGGACGTTCTCGCGTTTCTTCGCATCGTACTCCTCGAAGTTGGCTTTCCTCTGACCCTCTGAAAAGAAAAAGTATACAACTCAGTGAACATCACTAACACGACATCAATATTATAATTTCTCGCTCAACAATGTACTATTAAATAACATGCGCATTATGTTACATTTTTGAACGGGAAATTACAACATAGATATTATGTTACTGTTCACTAGGAACGACATTCGACCATGTTATATTCCGTTATACTTTTCGAAAAAATCTCCAATGCTCAAACTCGTACGAAAATGTAAGTTTATTTAATCCATTTCGTTTCTCTGCTCCTATATAGGAACAGTAAATTTATCTATCTTCAAAATTTCTTTATCTATTCAAGGTAGATTTTGGCTTAGGTTTCGTTACTGAAATATAGTTTAGATTTTTGCCTTTCAGAAAATAATTTCACCTGACCACTACTCATCGTTGGGGGTGGAAAATAATTTTGTAAAATATATCTTTTTAATTCGTCGCCACACCTTGTAAATTAATTAATTAAAAATTGTAACAGATAAAAGATTGAAAAACAATGATGAGATATTGTTAAAAGTTCAAATCGTCGAAAGTGACGATTCTCATTACGATATGATTCACCAGGTGTACGCCAGATGTCATCCAAGGTAGATGTTCCGACTATTTTCCGGGGAAAACAGCTGGACAGAAAATTTTGATTTTAGGGTTTCTGAGTTCTTTGGGTCCCAAGTGCATTAAACAGTGCTTGGATCTCAATATTTTTGCAGCCCGGCCCGAAGTGGGTTAAATGAATTTGACGAAAATATTTATTTGTTTACGTTAATTTGGATTCGCGCGAACCCGTTCTCTCGCGTCGCGTTAAAAGGCGAAACCTGGAGGAGGAATCGTGAAACCCGGCGGCCCGCTGCTTCTACAGCTTCGTGTGACGTGCGCAAGTATCGCGGGTAAAATGAGAAAGCGCTCCGCAAAGTGACCGGTCGGCTTCATAGTCGAGTATACAACGTCGACGGATAAATCTATTCAGCTGTCTCGACTCGCCGATGATGCTGCGAGATCCTTGAAAGATGATCTATTCAATGCTCATCACTATCGGAGCTGTTTATTATTTGCGCCGGGGATGCCTAACGTCGGCTCATTAATGCAAACGTAAACACGCCGAACGATGCGCGATCCGAAGGATTCATTCATAGCGCCAGGTTATCGTCTAATCGGAAATTTCGTTAACCGGTTCATTGGCTGATGAGCTACGGTGGATCGGGTATCGATCGACGAAACGAAGATCGTGAGATAATTGTAATTTGAGAAATACAAATACTCTGAGCTTCAATAAAGTCATTAACATTAACCAGGCCGAATCTTTTTAATCGTTGCCATCGCGTTTCGATATAAACATGATACGATACGTTAATATGATATGTCAAGCTGTCAAAATAACAAATTAGTCATAATTAAGTCATGCATATGCACATCTAAACACGATATGAGCAACTGGGAAACTTTATTTGTATCAGGTATAATTTCAGCTTTGTAGTATTACAGTTTGACTTTACTGAAGTTTAGTAAAAAAACGTGCTAAATGAAACGAACCACGTTCCGTAATCATCATGAGTCGCATTCGCATATTTGACGAAATCGGAGCGAGAAAACGGTCGCCGTGCAAGGTGTACGTTTTTTACGAACTTCTCCGCTGTATTTAACGACCTGACGAGCTTCCTCGTATGCGATTATTATGCGAAGTGAACGAGAGCCTCCCGCAAGCTGTTCCGCAACACGTAGCTTAATCGGCCGCACATCCCACGGATTTCATTCCCCCTTTCCATACACACATACATTTTGTTTCTTCCGTTCCGCTATTTTTACATCGACCACGACCGTGCCATCTCGAATACTGGTTCTTCCAGTTCGACCTCGTTTGTATTTATCATTGTATAAAACAATCGCGATCCCATCTCCGAAATGTCAGCAAGCTGTCTCTTTTCGGCCTCGCGCCTCGCTGTGGTGCAACGAATACTCGAATGTTAAAATACGGGCTGTCCCACTTTTACCGTATTATCTCTTAATAACAGATCCGCCGGTCGATATGAAGTCGATTTTTTTTTTGGCGAGAACGTCAATCGATGAGTTCCATCGTTCATCGCGATAATTTTAATTAAATGTCAATTTAAAATTGCACTAAAGTTCACTTAAAATTAATCGAAAAAACAAGTTTTTTTAACTCAATATAAAAAACACAGCATTAAGTAATCGTTTGTATCGTCAAGGCAGGATAATAGAACTTGTATAGTATTAACTGGCCTAACGTAAAACTAGCACCCCTACTTGAAATTGGTCCTTTATAGATCTTTTAAATTCGGTGGAATTTGCAGAGTTAATTTAGACCTAAGATTTCGACTCGAGATGAGATATCTCATATAACTATAAGAATCAATTCTGCATCTTTGCTACAGGCGTTGAGCACCGACTTGCGCAGGTTGATTAGAAACAACATAAGTTAATGAAATAAATACTCCGTGCAATTTAAATCGTTACCTGATAACTGAATTTTCTTCTTGATCTCGACGATGTTCTTATTAAGCTCGTTCAGCTTGTTTTCGGCAACGGACAAGGCCAAGGGCTCGGACATGTTTTCGCGAACGAGAAAGGATTTCCCACGTGGAATCGACTTAACAATGCGGCTGGTCGTCCGGACGACCTGACTCTGATTTTCCAGTTGCGACTCGGGGCTAAGAAAGACGGTCGTGTTGTGGCGCGTAATTCAACTTGAGTTAATAACGAATCGGTTATCAAAGATCATCTACGTCATTCTTTTTTTTTTTTGTAACGAAGTTATCGTTTCCGCTGCACATTTTCATCGTTATAAATTATATAAACGGCAAATATAAAAACAGCTTGAAATACATAAAAATATTTGTGTCCAATAATGTAAAACGCGATATATATCTCCGAAGAAAATGTAGGAAGCAATTTTTCTATGATTCGCGTCGCATAATATTTTGCTTCGGCGAAGGGACTTTCGCGCGAATACGCGTAAAACGGCGGTCGTCAACAGCCGTATCTCGATATCTCCGCCGTCCGTTCCGTTTTCAACGACGAATCTCACCAATTGAACGTCAGCCGCCGTTATGCCCGACGAGAGACAATTGTACCGCCACGCTACGCCGTCGTCCCGCAGGGCGCAGATGTTTGCAGTTCGACGATAAGGTTAACGGCACCATTAATAAGGCTAATGGGAAGCGCGTGTTTGCTGCTTCGTGCGCGCATCTCGCGTGCTGTGGTCACAAAGGGCTTAGGAGGGCGTCTCATGAGGAAGGTTTCGCGCGCGAGAGAACGAGAGGGAACTCGGCTCCACCGAATTATAATTCCGCATTTGTATTCGTTAAGACGTTCCGAGGCGTGCCTGGCGGCTAAGCTCGACGCGGCGGCGATGAATTTCGCATTACACGCAATCAAGCGCGGCCGAGCGGCGTTAATTAATGATGCGACGCGTTGCGCTCTTTTACTCCGCTCTACGCGCCCCGTGACTCGTTGCGTATCGATCCTCGAAGGAGTATCATAACCGGCTGGCTCCGCTCTGCATGATGTCCGTCTCGTGAGAGAGAGACAAATGTCGATACCGATACTAATACCAATGCCACTAGCAATACCAATGTCAGTAGCAATACTAATACCAATACCGACGCTAATATCGATAACGGTTGCTGCTCAATGTGGTTCAACATCGGTGCGGATTGAAATTCTTCCATCAGAATAAATTGTGTTCTGGTGGATTCATCAATACACATACGGTTAACATAAATATTTACGTATTATAGAAAAATTTGCGATATCGTATGTATTGTTTGAAATTATTTTATACTAGCTGATTAATTACTATTCATTATTGACACACACACATACACACACACACATACGGACGCACGCAACACACACATATACACAGCTATAATTTATTACTTATATATGCAGATATCTGCGTTACAGTTACAATTAATACGATGAGTACCGTGATGGTTACCGGTAATCAATACTGTAATATCGTCGCGTTTTAATAAATTATGTATAAAGTATAATTAATTACATTCAGAAAATCAAATGTAGGGCCATTAAAAAGTCAATAAAATGATACAACAGATACATGTGCCTCGAATTATATTTATTTATCTTTGGTAATTTATTTTCCAGTTTAGCTTGATAAAAGATCACTTATTCGCTTGTCATTTCGTCATTTGTACGTAAACATTTGTCATTTAAACATTTCGTCGTATATTACATTTCTTCTTTTTCTCCACAACTGTCCTTGTCATTGTTTACATATACACTTCTGTGACTTGTCATTGTTTACATATACACTTCTTCATTCGCTATGTTCCACTGTTTACAACTTTTTTGT